TCACTGGTCTGGCTCAGGTCACATGCTCTTTCCTGAACCAATCACTGCAGTCAGAGGGATGAAAGATGCCGATTGGCCAGGTCTGGATCAGGTGCACACTCATGGAGCTAGGGCCTCAGGACTTCACAGGTAGGGAGGGAGGTGGTCACCAGCTATAATTGGAAGAAGAGGGAACAGATCCTGTGCAGCCAAATACAGCCAGTGTACTCTGTCACCACTATGGGATGTCCAGAGCTCTCTCCAACATCTCCAAGGATTCTCCTGATCGTCACTTCTTGCTCAGAACTTCTCCTATATCTTTTCCTGTCTCCTTTGGTGGTTTCAACACTCCTAAGGCTGCAGCTCTGTTGCTTGCCTGAGTCACCCTAGACACGGACACAATCCACCTCTTTTATTCCCCAACGCAGCCCTAATTTAATGTGATGTTGTGAATAATCCTCTTTTACTGAAGTTTCAGAGATGGGGTGGGTTTGAAATCACAGAACAGCATAGGAAGCTACAGCAACCCAAATACTAGACACTACTGACTGTGCATCTTGTGAGCCTTCTGATGCCATGATGCTGGCATCAGCTTCCTCCCAACCCAGCCTTCTCCCACCTCTGGTATCATCCTCTTGTTTCAGAGTCCCCACCATGTGCTTCTCAGGTACCAAATGAAAATCAGAATTACGATGATTTTATTATGCAGAGCAATTGAGCTCTTTGCCTTCAACTCCCTATTCCAGACTGTGCTCTCTGGGCTTTGCCTTTACAACCAAAAAGGGTGCTAAAGCGTTTTCCTAAATCACAGTAACAAACCACTTTTTCCTAAGTTAAAATTGGCACCTCCCAATGCAAATCAAAACCACAATGAAATACAACTTCATATGCTTTAGGATGACAGTAATATTTTTTTAAAATGGAAAATAACAAGTGTTGGTAAGGATGTGGAGAAATTGGAACCCTTGAGCATTGCTGGTGGCAGTGTCAGGTGGTGCAGCCACTATGAAAAACAGTTTGGTGGTTTCTCAAAAGGTTAAATATAGAACTATTATATGACCCAGCAATTCCATCCCTAGGTATATATCCAAAAACATTGAAAACGGAGACTCAAACTTATATTTATACACCAATGTTCATAACAGCATTATTCACAATAGACAAAATGTAGAAACAACCCAAGCATCCATCAGCAGATGAATGGATAAACAAAATATGCATGTACACATAATGGAGTACTATTCAACCACAAAAAGGAGTGAAATGTTGAAATATGCAACAACATGCATGGACCTTGAAAACATTATGCTTAGTGAAATAAACCAAGCACAGAACAAATATTACATAATTCCACTTAGATGAGGTACCTAGAATAGTAAGACTCATAGAGACAAAGTAGAATACAGGTTAACAGAGGTTGGGGAGTAAGAGGGAAAGGAGACTCATTGTTTAATGGGTACAGAATTTTTCTTGGGGATAATAGGAAGGTTTGGGGTATAGATAGTAGTGATGGTTACACAGCATTGTGAACATATTTCATGCCATTAAATTGTACACTTACAAATGGTTAAAATGATAAATATTATGTTATGTATATTTTTCCCACAATATTGATTAATTACCTAATTGGCCCCTCCAAAAGAATTCTCCATTTTTGCATTTTCTATAGGAAAAAAAAAACTATAAATGTAGGTGTATCACCTGAAATGTAGTGACTTGGATATGCACAAATAAGTGCTGCAGTGTACAATCATGCAAGTATTCATTACACAAGCATTTATTGGGTATCCACTGTGTGCAAAGCACACACTATGCTAGAAGCTGAGGGAAGAAGTTTACAAAGATTAATGAGTTTCAGATTGTGTTCTGAAGGTAGGGTTTCCAGATTTAGCAAATAAAAATACAGGTTGCCCAGTTATATTTGAATTTCAAATAAACAACAAATATGATATCCTGTGTAATATTTGGAATGCACTTTTACTAAATATTATTCATTGTTTATCTGAAGTTCAAATTTAGCTAGGTGTCCTGCAACCTTGATAGAAGAAGTTTATAGTCCAGTTGGGAGATAAGAGATGTTCAGGATGCAAGATGCAATGAGCCAAGCATCAAAAGGTGAAGGACTATGAGAATTTGGTGGAAGAAATTATTACACTTAATTCTGAATGGTCCACTATTTTAGGAGTGTACTAATATATGTGAAGTGATTAAGTGGAGAAAACAGGCTGTTTTCCATATTTTTGTTTTTCTTCCCACCTCAACTCTTTTTGACAAACATATTTCTCTATTACTTACTTAATATTATTGCTCCACATACTCTCAACAAATATTTGAAGACACAAGTCTGTTCCAGGCACTGTTCCAGGCACCAGGTACAGAATGGTGAACCAGATATTGTCTCTGCCTTCATGAATTTCACAGTTAAGTCAGGGAGACAGACAACAATGGAAAAAATGAAAAAACAAAATACAGATAGTGATGAGAACAATACAGAAGGGAAGACAAGGGCTGTGAAGATGAATGATTGTAGAGGCTGCTTTGAGGGATCAGGGAAAGGCACTCTAAGGAGTAGACTGTTCAGGCTAAGGCCTCAGTAGTGTGCAGAGGCCTGCCATATATAATTCTCAAGGAAGAGCATTGACGGCAAAGGGAACAGCAAAAATCGTGAAGTAGGAACAGAAAGAAGGCCCAAGCACCTAGAGTATAATTACATATAGAATATTCTCTTTAAACAATTTCTTATCCTCCTTTCATTTCTTTTATTGAGAGAGTTTGTATGGGAAATAGTTAAATGAGGGGCAGCAGAAGAAGACAAAGCTAGGCATTTCAATAATCCACAAACTATTAGATTACATGATTTCTAGGATCCATTCCAAACCCACTCCTCTAAGACATACTTCCCAGGATAATATTAATAACTAAAATATATATTACAACACGTGATATGAGTTACATGCATGATCTCATTCAGTCCTCAGAGGTCAGTTCTCTTATTATCATCCCCATTTTCTAGATACAGACACTCAGGTAATGTGGTAGGCAGCAAGTCTGGGATTAGAAGCCTTGTCATTATGTTCTACTACCTCCTTCTACTTTTAAAGACATCAGACATCAGAAACTCCCAGATATTACTGTGAACTGATTGATCCACCAGGAAAAATCTCTGAGAGAAGCTGATGAGTCAGGGCCCTGATCTTGTCTAAAGAGAAACTTTCTGGTTCCTCTTTTCAGGAGGAGTTTCCTTTCATGCCCTACATTCCACCAGTTTCCAGGGCCAGAGCTCTACAAAGGAAATCCACCAGCCTGATGGCAATGTGCCTCCTTGATGCCTAAACTCAGCACCCTGTTGTTATCATTTTTCTTTATATCATTTATCACAATTTTGGATTATATAATTCTCTGTGTGATTGTTGAATATCCGTCTTCCTAACTAGACTGGCAGTTACATGAGAGCAGGGGAGTGGTAGGTACTTAATTTTTTAAATAAGTGAAGACACTCTCTTTTGGGATCTCATGAGTTTGGGTATAACCATCTAGAGTTGACAGAATGCTTTCCATGTCTTCTTTGCATCGCACGACCATTGTGAGATAGATATTACCAATACCACTGTTTCCGGACTCAGGTCTGGCTGCCCGCCCCCTTGAAAAGGAAAGAAAAAAAACTCAAAAGTCAAATGGTTGGTGTTAGAAAAGCAGATGCATTCAGCTGAAGGAGATGGCAGGCTATCCCATCTCAAAAATTTACATTTACTGAGGGGTTTTTAAAGGAAGGCTTGAGGGAATGGAATGTGGGAGGTGAAAAGCAGGAGAGTAGGAGATGTGAGTTATGAAGGGTCCATTTCTATGGGTCAGGTACAAGGTCTTGCCAAGGCCTTATCTGGTTTCTGTTCTCATCTTTGCTGTTATCTCAGGACCCTGCAAGATTTTGATCTGTGCCGTGTACTTGGCTGGTGCCCAAGGTCAGCTTCAGTCATTTGGCCTTGATCATTTCTCAAAACTCTACAAGTCTCAAAGAAAGAAATGTTAGCTTTGCAAAGTACTAATTAACTTCTCAGCCTTGTTTTCCTACTTAGGGAGCGAGATAAGAAAGTCGGGGGATGGGAGAGAAAAAAACTGTCCTTTTTAAAGTCCACCCCAATCCTTCAGCCCAGGCGGCTTTAGGTTCCAACATGGCTTCAGTCCTGCTCACTCCAACACCACTTCAACTCAAGCCTTAACAACGAGGTGAGGCAGTGTTTGAGATGGTAAAGCCTCTGGATTCTGAAGTACACTTGGGTCAAATTCCACTTACTATGTGTAGCGTTTGGCCAAACACTTAACTGAGCTCATTTTCCTCATTTATTCAGCAAACATTCATTAAATAAAATATGCTACCATTCCAGTCTCTGGGACAGAGCAGTGAGTGAGAACAAAATCGCTGCTCTCGTGGACCTTACATTCTAGGAAGGATGGAAAGTGCTTAGGAAATTACAAGATGTATGTTAAATGTATAAAGTAAATGGTGATGAGTTTAAGGGCAGTGCGGGGAATAAAAGAGAGAACAAGGGTAGGGAGTGTGTATATTGAGGGAGAGGGAGGGTTGCAATTTTCTAAAGGGATGTCCAGTTAAGGGCTCCCTGAGAAGATGGCATTTGTAAAATGAAAATATAGTGTCTATTTCTCAAGCCTGTGTGAAGATTTAATAAGAAAATGCACGGATTCGTTAAAAAACAAAACAAACAAAAAACCTTCGATAGGTCCAAAATGGACCTGCGAGACCTCTACAGAAAGAAGCCCGCCTACAGCCAAATGGATGGGGGAACGTTAGTCATAGGGGAACGGTAATCGCGGTGGAAAGTTGCCCCAAACGGAACGTTAATCGAAGAAGAAACATTGGCTAAAGAGGAACATTAATTCGAGACAAACCTTGGGCACGGGGGCAACTTCTTCCGGCGAGTACAGTTACCCTAGCAACGACGTGCGCCCGCCTGGCGGAGGCAGGGACGGAAGTATGCAGGGAGAGATGGGCGGGGCTTGCGGCGGAAGTGGTCTCTCGGCCACCACAGACCCGGGAAGATGCTGCCTCTGTTGTGGTGGTGGCTGTGCCTCGGCCTGTGCAGCCTCTTGGTGGGTCAAGCGGAGGCCCCGAGCCCTGTGGAGCCGCCGGAGCGGAGCCGGCCGTACGTGGTGCTGCGCGGGCAGAACTTGGGTGAGCGGCCGCAGGCTGGCGGGCGGCGGAATCAGGCCTGTGTTTCTGTCGCTCCGAGCAGCCGGAGATTGGCCGCGCGGGGCTGTCGGGGGCGGGGGCGGAGGCGATGTGTGAGGGCTGGGGGTGCAGGTGGGGCCTCTCAGGGAGCCCCCCTCTCCGAAGGCCTGGGCTTTACCGCTCAGCACAGGGCCTAGTACCCAGTAGGCTGTGTTGCACGTGAGTGAACTGGGATCGAGAGACCTGGGTCTGCTCCTCTCTGGCTGTGTGGGCACAGGCTAAGCTACAAGGCGCATCATATACCCCATCCTCTCTTCTTTCCTAAAGGGACCAGTACTCGTAATAATAACGGTAGTGACAGTTGTTGAGCATTTCCTATATACCAGTGTTGTGTTAAGCACTATATATATGAATTCATTTGAGCCTCGCAGTAACTTAACGAGAAAGGAACGATTTTTCAGCTCTGTTTTACAAATAAGGAAAGTGAAGCTCAGAGAGGTGAAGTTATTTGCTCAAGTTTACACAGCTAGGAATTGGCGGCACCTAGTATTAGAACCTAGGTTTTGTGGGGCTTGAAACAACTTTTGGGAGGTGTATTAGTCCGTTTCTGTTGCTTATAGCAAAATACTCAGAACTAAGTGGTTTGTAAGGAAACAGAATTTATTGCTTACAGTTTCGGAGGCTGGGAAGTCCAAAGCCCAGGGAACACATCTCGTGAGGGTCTTCCTTGGTGGTGGCTTCAGTGACACAGGGTATCACATTGCGAGATGGCAGAAACAGAGAGAGAGAGAGACTTTAACCTGCTCTTCAAGGTTCCACCTTTCAATTATTATAATAGGATTTCTACTGTCCACCGTTTCAGTGGGGATTAAGCTTCAGTGGCTTTGGGGAGCCGTTCAATCCATTGCAGGAGGATTTCTTCAGCACACACACATACATATACATACATATGCGTATACATGGCACTGGAAGGAGCTCTGGAGCTTAAAGCTTGGGAAACTTCACAGTAAATCTCACCCTGTCCTGCCAAAGCTCTCCCTTCCCACTGCACCTCATTAGTACATCTCTGTATCTACAAAGTAGCCACATAGTATCATTTCTGGATTATCTTAACTCTAGATGAACTCAGTGCCTGCCATGTATTGAACCACTTATGTGTACCTAGCACTCTGCTAAGTAGTTTCCACACATCCCGCTTAATCCTTCTGAACAGGGTTTTGAATCTAGGTACTACTCTCATGTTGGATCAAATGATTTTTTTTTTTTTCAGGGGAAGGGGGCTTATCTTGAACACTGTAGGACGTTTAGCAGCATCCCCAGCATTTATCTTCTAGATGCTAGTAGCACTCCCCAGCCCCAGTCGAGATAATCAAGATGTCTGCAGACATTACCACATGTCCACTGGGGGCAAAATCCCTGTGGTTGAGAACCACTGTTGGAGAACAGTACTACTCAGGGTGATCTGCATACCCTCTGTAATGTGGGTCTGCAAACTATATGTTACCTGCAAAGAGATGGCCATAGAAATTGAGAATTCAACCACTGAAACAGATGATTAAGAATTGTAGGCCCATCTTGGTAACCATAGGAGCAGGCAGCCGATAACACCAGAAGCCTGCGTTGTGGCTTCTGTTTGCTCAGCGCTACTATGTTGAAGGAAATCACAAGGTGATATAAAGGAAATATTGTTTTAAATGTCTTTTATTCCTTTTGAGAAGTACAGTTTAGAAATGATTTCTAAAAGAAGTATCTAAATTCCTGCAGCCATTTTAAAATCTTTAATTGTATTAATAAAATGTATATCACAGGATGACTTAAGACAATTTGAAAATAATGTAAAGTAATAAAGGTGCATATTTAATTATATATGTCTGTGTATATATGTATATGTGTGTGTGTATGTACATATATGTATTAGTTTTAACTGTTAGTTTTACTACAAAAGCACCCAGCTGAAGGATGGTTATGCTGTGACCCCAGACTAATCAGACTTGTACAGTCATTTTAATATAAACGAAAGTTGGATGCAGAAAAAAAAAAAAAAGAAAGAAAGAAATTGAGAATTCAAAACTTAACAATTTCACATTGTTGCAACATCCACACAAGTAGAGACTAGTTCTAGGTGTCCCTGAACTGGAATCCTTTTCAGACGAAGGGAGCTGCTTATTAGTCATGCACAGTGGTTGTCTGAGACAGACTAGAAATTATAAGAACTAGGTTTTTTTTGTTTGTTTTTGTTTTTTACCACAGTTAGTTTGAGAAACACTTCCCTAGACAATCCTGTGCAGTGGGTATTTTTGTTTCCATTTTTACAGAAGAGGAAACAGAGAGGTTGGGTGGCTTTTGTAAGATCACATAGCCTGTCAATGGGAACCCAGATGATCTGACCCTAACCCCTGAATTCTTTTATCTTTTTTTTTTCTTTTGGTGGATGTCTAGTATGGGGATCCAAACCCTTGACCCGGGTGTTACAAGGCTGCACTCTCACTAAGTGAACTAACCATGAACCTTCTGGCCTTGATCACTGTGCTTTGCTGCCCGTCTTGGTCATCATAATGGCTGTTCATTTATCATATGCTTATTTACGTACAGCACTGTGTTTGCACTTCTTGAAGGTAACCATATTTAGGACTCAAGAAACCCTTGTGAGGTGGGTTTCATCTGTCCCATTTTGTGGATGCACAAAATGAGACTCACTTATAGGAAGTGTCCTTAAGGATGGACCAAAATAGTCTTTAAAGGTTCTGCCTGGACCTGCCTTTCAGGCAACTGATACCATGTGCAAGGTGCAGGGAGAGGTAAAAAGATGAAGAGTGGAAGAATTTATCAAGCCCCAAATGGATAGCTATCCAAATGGATATCATGAACCTAAAAACTCATGGTTTTAAGCTTTTTTTTTTTTTTTAAAGTAGATTTTCATTCCCCAATTCCAGTCCCCTGCATTCCTCCTTTAGGAGTTTTTTTTAAGAGCCCTTCCAAATGCAAGAAAATGGTTTAAAGGAATAAAGTAACTTTAAGTCCAACAGTAGTCAGAATCTTAGAAACTCAGAATTCAGGACTTTTGAAAATTAGGGCACGTATTTAGTTAACAAGGGCTACTTTGAGATATGACATTTAGCTCATGTGAGTCATAGATTTTGTTTAACAAAGACCTTAAAATTACTTCTGGCCTTTTGGAGTTATGACACACTGTCTTTGTCACCTTTTCTTTCCTCTCCCTCCCTCACCAAAAAAAGATAATCTTTCTCTATAGTTATTAGATAATAACTGGATTGAGCATAGAGGGTGAGGTAAAGGGGTCACATATACTCCAAAATTGTTGATTTAAAAAAAAAAAACTATGGTCAAATCTTGGTTTTTCAAAGGGACAGTAACCAGACTGGAGAACAACCATGTTTAGGCCCCAGTGAGACCTACAGCTGATTACTCAAGCTGAGCACCTGGTGGTATAGGATGTTAAGGACCTGGGCTTTAAACTACTAACATAACCAGTAACCTGCCAGAAGGCTTATTTATTCAACAGCAGCAGTGATGTGGAATCTTGTTTCTGTGACTGTCAGAGATCTTGGGCAGCATTCAAAATGTTACCTTTAACAAGCAAATATACATTTATATGTATCTGTGAGTATGTAGGTCCCATTTCTCATCTGAGGACCTTGAAAATTTTAGGTGTGAGATTTACTCTCAAAAACATAATAGGTTTGTGTAGTTAGTTAATTGTTTCTTTGGTCAGAAGATTCTCATCTAGACACTGAAATACTTGATTCTTTATTAAATCTCCAGATCTTATTAATGGCTTAAAAGACATTGTTGGACTCCCTGCTTCTATTCTTCTCCCCCTTCTCCACACAGCAGCTAGAGGGATCTTTTTTCCCAACTGAATCTCAATTGATTGATCATGTCACTGTCACTGAGTGACAGATCATGTCATTCTTTGTCTACAGCCCTCCAATGGCTTCTCTTTAAACTTAGAATAAAATCCTTGTTTCCTTCATGGAGTCCAAGGCCCTGCATGGACCGTTTCCAGCCTTCCTCTCTGGCTTCATTTCCTGCTGCTTCTCTTCCTTCACTCCTTCCATGCGTGCCTCCTTTCTGTTCACTGAACCTTCTGGGCTTGTTCTGACTACAGGGCCCTTCCTTGGCTGATCCTTGGGCCTTCAGCACTTGCCCTGCAGAGCTCCACAGGGCCAGCTTCTTCCTTTTGTTAAGGTCTCAGCTTGTGTATCACCTCCTCAGATGCTTCCTCGACCACCCTAGCTTCTGTTGCCTCTTTCCCCTCCATCACACTGTTTTCTTCACAGCATATCAAGCTATGTGAAATGCTCCTTGTTTACATTTCTCTCTTCCCCGTACATGGAGATGACTTGAGAGAGTTTGTTCATGGCTGTTTCCCCTGCACCTGACACAGTGCCTTGCATCAAGTGGCATTTGGTAAATTTTGTCAGTGAATGAATGAATTACAGGGCCTGGAGCTGCCGTTAGGAGGTAACCTGTTTTCTCTTTGTAGTGTTGATGGGAACCATTTTCAGCATCCTGCTGGTGACCGTCATCCTTATGGCATTTTGTGTCTACAAGCCCATTCGACGTCGGTGACAGCTGAGCGAGCAAGTTCTTCCACAAGTATCTGGGAACAGGATAAGTTGTGTTGCAAACAGGCCATTGGAGAAGCTGGATTCAGAACTTTCCTATTTGGAAGTGACCTTTGGTCTGGACAATTGGTAAATGCTAAATGATTTAGAAAAAACATCAACTAGCAATTATTTTTTTTCCTAACACTGTAATGCAAATAATTTGCCATTGAGTCTGCTTATTAATGTTTCTTTTTATATCTGGCTGTACTTGTTAAAAGTAAGACCTGAAGCTCCAAGGTTCAGTGTAAAGATGAAGCGCTCATGAGAAAGAAAACATGGAAACACTGCTAGTATTTGTAAAAGAACCACACTGGAAAGGACTACTCATTAATGCTTGAAATAGTAATAAGAGGAAGACAATGTGTAGACATTCCCTACTTAAGAACCATTTGGTCACAGTGTGTTAACCATCACAAATGTTTTTCATTATTGAGTTGACATAGAATGCTAGAATGACTTTTGGTTACAAAAGTCAGATGTGACCGTTGCTTCTTACCTGCATCTGGCTGTGCACTCAGATGCCTCCACTGAAGTCAGGGTCACATCAGTTAGGCCCTTTACCACGTGCACCCTTGGCCTGGAAGGCTCTGGGGTTGGACCGAAATGTGACTAGTTTGCCCATCTGAAAAAGAACTCCATCCTGCACAAATACATTGATCTCCCTTGTACTACACTTAAGCCTTTCCAGCCCATGGCCTAAAACTTCTGGTAGCTTTTCAGATTTTGAATCTGAGAGACTCACTAGGAGCTCCTTTTCAGCCCTGGGTAGGGAGGGCTCAACCAGCAGAAGTGCACGTTCACTGTGTTGGGCTGGTGTGTGTTTACACAAATTTAATCTCAACTTTGAAAATGCTGCTATTAGTTTGCACTGTTGGTGAACTGGATTTTTTCCCCCCACTGAAATGATACTTTTGTACTTAAAAAGTGGTTGTCAGTATTTATTTTAAAGGAGCTAGATTTTTTTGTTATTAAATTAAAATGCTTATCTTGTGCTCCAAGCACAGCACTGATCTTTTTTTTTTTTTTTAAACAACCTGCATTTAATGTGAAATAACTGATATGGGATACTGTAACTGACATAAGAATTTTGTTTGTAGCCTTATAACTTCGAGCCATTGAAATGTTCACTGTTCTGTGCTTTTGAGCAAAATGTTAATTAAAATTGAAGTAAAATCCTACATGCTGTTTTACTCCTAGTAATTTTTACCCAGGTGTTTAAAATGAAGGGGTGTTTGAATCTGATCTGATCTCTTAAGGAAGCACTGTGAAATGGAATTTTAAATTAATATGTGAAATAACACTGTTGCCCTAAGACAAGGTATTGATTATATCAGGAAACTGAGCCATAATTAAACTCAGGTTGGCCAGGGGTCAGGAGACCTGGATTCCTGTCATAGGTTCAGTTACAAACAGGCTTAAATCCTCCAGAGCCTCAGTTTTTTCATCTATAAAACGGTGATATACATACTTTCTTAATTGCTGTGAAGATCCAATCATGTAAAAACTAATACAGATGTAAATGGAATCACCACAGTTGGCCTGTCCCACAGAAGTTTGTGGTTATTGACTGTAGTTAGGAGCAATGGGTAGGATCCTGAGACACTGGCATTGACAGTTCAGCCCCATGAGTACACATCCCCACCTCATCTGGAACGCAGCATTTTGATATGCTGCCACAATAGTTATTGCCATTTTTAGGATTTTAAAAGGAGACGGTAAAAGCTTGCCAAGCCCATAAACCTTCTGACTTGCTGCTTGCTCAGTAAAGTGGCCAGATAGTTGGCTCATGTTCCAGCTTTCTGAAACAACTTTGCAATACTTTTATTTTATACACAAATCCAAAACCCAGTCTATTCCTTCAACCCAATTTTAACAACCGTTCTGTGTGAGATTTCAAGCTAACGTAAAACAAAGACTAATCTTGGCAGAAAGAGGACTATTGCAGGGGATGTGTAAAAAAACGTCAATTTGGGGAAAGAGAATTAACAATGAAAACTTTTATGTACCAAAGACTGGCCATCTAGTACTTTCAAGTGGAATTATTTTCCTGGCCTTTATCTTTGGGAATGTAGGGAGAAGTAGTAGCCAAACCTTAGACCTCAAAACCAAACTACTCATAATACCAGCTGTGTACCCAGATGAACACATTTATACCAATCAGATAAAAATGAATTATGTTAGCAAACACTAAACTTTATTTAAAGCTGAGGTTAAGAAGTCTGTGGTTGCTGCTTGAGACTTAGGGGCTCTGGAGTCTTACTAGTGCATTACATTTTTTCCAGCTGGTCCTCAATCTTAAACCCACACATACTTCTAGACATAGGTCTAGGTTGGACTTTGAACTCCATCACCTACTGCACCAAAGAGAATCATTTGAAACTTCCATAATCCAACTGATCGTCCTTGATGTTACTTGTGGTCAGTGGGAGACTGGGACCAAGCTGGTGGTCCCTTTCCTATCATTATTTAGAGCAGACTTTTCTGCTTCCTCAAGACCTCACATTATATATGGTACAACAATCTTGTTTATAGAGCAAACTGTCTTAGGAACTTTCTTATGCTGAGTTCCTAGACATGTCTTATGTGAAGTTGCTCAAGTAAAGTTTCCGCTGATATTGGGCCACTCAAGCTTTAATGAACCTAAAGATAAGAAATTATTCAGTTTTTAGTTTAAAAATCCACAGATATTACACCGAAGTTTTATTAGTTTTCTTCATAGTGTTCTTATCGCTCAAAGTATTGGTATTTACTTTCTCCCAAAAGCAAAGTAGTTCCATCATGTCTTCCCAGAAATACCAAGACCTCATTTCTAGAACCCAAACATTTTTACTGGCCACTGCCTTTTTTGTTTTAACACCAACATATTTAGGTGTAGGATGAGTCTGGAAGTCCTTTCATCTGAACTTAGAACAGCCTCACAAAGCACTTCGGCTTCAAAGGAAAGAACACACTGAGCTGATGTTGGTTTGGCTTCCCTCACTCCACAAAAGGCAGTCCACTTCCAGGAGAGCTGCAGAGGTGTCTCAGAGCAGCTACAGTGCTGGCTTGCTTTTAGTTTCCATCTGAAACGAGTACCATGGGGCATGTGGACTGTATAACTTGGGCAGGAATGCTGACGGGAGCATGCTGCCTTTGTAATAACATACAACTGAGCAATGTGAAGGAATTCCAATGTCCTAATAACATATAACAGGAAGTGTGGGTACATCCAGGGACTAGAAAAAACAATGTGAAAAGAGAAAAAAAGACTCAAAGACTGTCTACAATATTGTATGAGCACCCTCTAAGGAAGCAGTCTTTATTTGCATTTTAAGAGTGAACACATGAAAAATGCTGCAACAGATCAACATAATGCTCACGTCCCTTTTTAAGTGAATTCCTGGGGAGAAAGTCAAAGACCTCGGGAAGCAGAGCAATGGAATGCAAACATAGAAATTAACTATGATTCACCTTCGTGAGTAAACAATGTGGCATAATTGCAGCCATTCCCAAGAAGATCTTCACTCACAGTAAACACCAAGTAAACAAAATGCCAAGCTGTGTATTCGAAACAATGTGATGTTGCCTATACTGGCCTCATGTGCAGAGAAAAAATTTTGGTCAGACCATGACAAAAAAGGCAGATGGTTACATGGAATTAAAAGCACAAGTCTTTGTGTCTATCTAGGAACGTTTCACTGGCAACACTAACTGTATGATACAGATGTTAACTGGAACGGTAGTTTATGTTTCTCTTCCTAACCCAAAAGAAGCCAACAGAGGAAACAGATGCAAACAGAGGAAGATATTATTTACCAGGTTATTTCAGTGCAGCCTGTGGGAATGAATACTTGGCCCAGGGTGAGGGTGCCCTCAGCTGTATTCCCCAGGGTTCTGTATGTTGTGTGATGATTATTTACAGGAGGGTTAGACAAAATAGTTAACTACTAAAGGTATCCAAAAAAGGCCTGAGAAAATCTGGTTAAAATTTATAACCTTGTATTGCTACTGATGGGAGTAGTCATTTTTATATCTTTTAAAAATAATAAAAAGATTCTGTTAAAAAATATATTTATCCAGAAAGATGTTGATTTGAACTCTAAAAAGCAATGTGGAATCATCGTTTTCCCTTTTGAATGAAGAGCCACTGAGCTCCGTTTTAAGCTCCCTTTCTAATTTCAAAACCATCCCTTCCTCGCAAGTGAGACTAGGGCATGCAGTGGGTTCTTTCTAGGCATCTACGTGGAAAACCTTCACCAGAGCAGGTGTAGAACACACACTTGGTTTGGTTCTATGCTGTTCCAGTATTTTGGCCAGCTTGTCCACTCAAGAACAAGACTTAGGTTCCTCTAGCTGCTCCTTCAGGGACAGGATTAGCTGCCTTTGATTTAGCCTGGAGGATCCTGCTCTCAAAGGAATTGCCTTTACAAATTCAAATCAGATCCCTCAACAACTAAAGTGAGGTGGTTTGAAACTACTAGTAATTTTTAAGGCTAAGGCAACATCCATGGTCATTTGTATATCTTAATTTGATGCAAATAGTTAACCATAATCTAAAATAGATCCTGTACATATCCCCTCTTTAACTTTAGCCAGGGGTGGAAGAAATGGAATAAGGTGAGATGAGGAAGAATAATGACAATGTCCTAGAAACCCTGCAAAAGGTAAAAATAAAGAGTAGATCAGCACAGATTACCCATTTCTTTGGTGAACACTAAAGAAGTATCTCAGATTCTCATAAACCACACTCTACAAAGGCTGCTGCTGCTGCTGCTGTCATATATAAAAGCACCCTGATTCTGCAATAACTTGTTTTGTTACCACTTCCTGATAAAAATTTATCTACAAACCTGTAGGGATTGGGGTTTTTGTCTAAAGCTGGTAGTAAAACTGTGACCTGCAAGCCAGTGCAGCTAATGGAAAGTGACGATGCTCTCCTCTCCTTAGCCTGGAAATGAGGCCTGCCAATCCTGGCCCCTTTTCAACTCCAGGGAGCATCCTGGATGGGCCTGGGAGTCCCTGGTCCTGCACCTCTCATAAAGAAGGGGCAAGCTGCCATCTGCTGCACACATACAAGGTACAGGTCCTCAGCCCCGGGGCCTTGGTTGACGCAGAGCTCACATGCAGCCCAGAGCCTCTGTGCAGCCTGTGGGAGGAAAGTCTATTTCTCAGTGAGTGACAGCTGTAAAACTTGCTGGAGCTCTGCCTCCTCCTCCTGGAGCCGCAGCTCCCGCTCTTGCAGCTCTTTGGCAGAGAGCTCCATGGCCAGCTGCAAGTCGCTATCAAACTGGCTTGTCTTACCCAAGGCACTGGGGCACAGGCCTGGGCCTTCTGTGCTGGTGAGGAGGCTCTCCTGGATGGCCCTGGGTTAGGAAATGGGGTAAAAAAGAAACAGTTATTACTATCATCACGGTGGTAGCAGCAACTACATTTCTTAACTACTTCCCAAGTGCATGCTCTGCCAGGCACCTTATATGCATGATGCTATTTAACCCCACGAAACTGGTGGTGGGTGAAAAACTCGATGCTCAGACAGGTTAAGAAACCCGCCCAACATCACCCAGATACTGAGTGATGGGGCTGGGAACTGGACTTGGATTTTTAAAGCAAAAACCATGTTCTTCATCAATAAACTCCCATACATGCCATAAATATAGGAAAAAGCTTTGTAAAATGAATCTTTGCAGTTTTACCCTTAAAAAGATATTCTAATCAGCTCTGTCATCTCTGTAGCTCTTCCCCAAAGTATCATCGTCTTTAAAATTGTATAAACCTCCTACTGAGGGCAACTACACCCTGTGATCATATATTCTTCATAGAAGATCAAACCATTCAGAAAACACTGACTTGGTGCTTTTCTGCCACTGGCACTGATCTGTGAACTAGTCAGCAATTCTGTCACCCATTCCTGGAAACTCGCTAGCCAGAGTTTAGAGCTATTTTAACGAATAACTACCATATAAATAATACTTTATCAAGTCTCTCCTGCTAGGCACAGCCTGTGCCTGCCCATGAATTAAGTGCCTGCATCAACCTTGGTTTCACCATCAAGACTCATGTCAATCACCTCTCATACTGGGCGCTGTAGGCTTGTGCCTGGCTGATCCCTCCATTCGAAGCTGGTCCTGAAAGTTCCTAGCAAAAACAAACATGATGGACATGAATATCTCTTAGGAGTATGTGCCATACTCACAAGGAAATGAAAGCAGCAAGAACAAAATTAAGAATATTTACATGCCCATTGACAGTGCTGTGTGAAAAACTAATAGGGATTTGAATTACCTTGAAAATGACACCTAAATGTCAGATGGTGCACCACCCTGACACACAGCCATAACCTTTTCATGCTTTACACAAAATCAGTCTATTAAAAATAGCTAGCTGTGGGAAAAGGTGAAATGATCAAATCAAGCAATTCTTCTAGGACAGGATTAGAAGACATAATTCAGTATTTATTGTCTTTGACTTTGTCTACTCCCCTTGTCAAAACTTATGATCAATAAGGTTTATGTAGCTATTGGGAGAAAAAGCTAAGCTCACTCTGCGGGGCTGGCAGTGATGTCTGGGGGTTGGGTCTTCTCCAGGAGGCCTCCCAAGGGAATATGCCTGCTCTGGGGTCTGGCCATCAGTCCAGCAGCCCCAGAAAATCGAATGGGTCCATGGTGGTAACTGGGGGAAGGGGAGAACAATGAACTCACATTACCCATGCTCTAAGACTTAAGATTAAAATAAGAAAGCCAAAGGCCTGAGCCAGAGTGTGGGCTCTGTTCTCAAAGCTTAGCAGCCCCATGAGGGCAACGGAGGGAGCAGGGGCTGCTTCACCAAAGAATTCCCAATGCCTGGCACAAAGCAGGCACTCTGCAAATATCTGCTGAATGAATGATGAAGAGAAAGAAGAAGCCAATGAACAAGTAAACAGCAGGAGCCCAGAACACACTAGAGGGTGGTGGAGAGAGACCAAACCCCACCCTAGTAGAAGCCAGGAATCACATGAGTGAGGAGACAGAAGGAGCTGATGTAGGGAAGGAGGACCTCAAGACTCAGACTGTCCCAGGCAGGTAAGGCCTGCAGGGTGAACCACATAAGACAACAAAAGGCTACTATTTTCACACAGGCCTGTCTCGTACTTAGCCCTACTTTTCATAGAGATCTAGAGAGAGTTTAAGCAGAATTCAACACTTGCATAAAAGAATGTGCCCAAAGAATCAACAACCATTTTCATCACATACTTATTGAGCAACCACAACACAATGCTTGGTCTTCCACATCAGTACCTTCATCTGAGACTACCGACACATAGATAATATTCCAGGAAAAATATGATGGTGTAAATTATCGTGAATTTGCTACTTCAGTACTAGAAAATTACAAAGCACACCTCAAAAAATACACAATTATGAGCTACATGGGTGAATATGAGGAAAAGGAATGTCTATCTGACGACATTTTGTGACTTGTGCTGACTGGGGTTATGCGAATAGTCTCTTACATGAGCTCTTATAAAAGACCAGGTGCATAAGATATAAAATAATCTATGTATTGGGTTTTTGTTCTTCTGATGGCTGGCCAGTGTGGAGATCTGAACCCTTGACCTTGGTGTTAAAAATAATCTATGTAAATACCATGACTGTGCAAACTTGTTAGTCAGAATAAGTCTTTCAGGTTAGCCAAAAACTGAGGCCAAACTAGAGGGTAACACCCATAAGCCCTGCTATTTATTCTGGTAAAATGAACCTGGCTCCTGCTGGACTCCAACAGGCTCTGCTGGATGGCAAACTGCATTATCTCGTAATCTTCGTCTTGCAAATGCACATTTCTGCCATTGTCTTGAACATGGTAAGATTCAGGAATTTCAAACACAGATTGATCAACCTCAAAGTTTGTGACGTGGGAAGCTGAAACACAAAAGGCAACCGTGCAGTGTCTGAGTAAATTATAATAAATTTCCACTCCAACATTTGCAAAAATGTTTTAAATTTTTTTAAAAATGAAAGGATCAAAATGATAATAATCAAGATTTGCTATTATGTGAGAGATTTTTGAGGAAGAATAATCATGACAGAAAAAAGTACCAGAATGTAGCTTTTTGATTTTTACCTTTTTAGTTAAAAAAAATGCATAGTCAAAAAAATACAGAGGACTGTAAAATGAAAAGATTTCTCTCCCTTCACTCATTCTCCTGTTTTCAAACTCCAGAGGTAGCCAGTGTTAACACTTCTGTATCTTTTGAGGAATGTGATGTATATACATATGTGTGTGGGGGTGTGTATATGTTTACATATACAGTTATACCAATGTGGTTTTTCTTTTTTTATTACAAAATATGGTAAACATATAAAAGAGTATATAAAGTGTCTGAACACTTAAAAATGATAATAATAAAACAAATGCCTGTGTATCCTTCACTAAGCCTGAGACACAGAACACTACCGATACCATGTCCTATAGGTATACCTTGATAAACAAATTCAGTAAAATTACAGGACACAAAATCAACATACAAAAATCAGTAGCATTTCTATACACCAACAACAAACTTGCAGAAAAGAAATCAAGAAAGCAATCTCATTTACAATAGCCACAAAAAATAAAACATCTAGGAATAAATCTAACCAAGGAGATGAAAGATCTCTACAAGAAAAACTACAAAACATTGATTAAAGAAATTAAAGAAAACACGTAAAAACTATAAAGGCATCCCATGTTCATGGATTGGAGGAGTCAATATTGTTAAAAAGACCATAATACCAGAAGTGATCTACAGACTCAATGCAATCTCCATCAAGCTACCAATGACATACTTCACAGAAATAGAAAAAAAAGTCCTAAAATTTATATGGAACAACAAACGACCCCAATTAGCCTCAGCAATCCTGAGCAAAAAGAACAAAGCTGGAGGAATTGCTCCAGCAATTGCTCGCTTACTTCAAAATATACTACAAAGCTATCGTAACCAAACAGCACGGTACTGGTACAAAAACAGATGTATAGATCAATGCAACAGCATACAAAGCTGGAGGAATTGCTCCAGCAATTGCTCGCTTACTTCAAAATATACTACAAAGCTATTGTAACCAAACAGCACGGTACTGGTACAAAAACAGATGTATAGATCAATGCAACAGCATAGAGAATCCAGAAATAAATCCAAGTACCTACAGCTAACTAATTTTCAACAAAGACGCCAAGAACATACATTGGGGAAAGGACAGTCTCTTCAATAAATGGTGCTGTGAAAACTGGAGATCCATATGCAGAAGAATGAGACTAGACCCCTATCTCTCACCATACAGAAAAATCAATTCAAAATGGATAAAAGACTTAGATATAAGACCCAAAGCTATAAAACTACTAGAAGAATAGACAGGAGAAACACTTCAGGCATAGGACCAGGCAAAGTCTTTATAAATAAGACCTCAAAAGCACAGGCAACAAAAACAAAAATAAAACTAAAAACCTTCCATAACAATCAACAGAGTCAAGACACAACCTGCAGAATGGGAGAAAATATTTGCAAACTATTCATTCAACAAGGGATTTATATCCAGCTAGAATATATAAGGAACTCAAAAAACAACAGTAAAAAAGAAACAACCAAATAATCCAATTTCTAAAAGGGCAAATGAGCTGAATACATTTCTCAAAAAAAGACATACAAATGGCCAACAGGTATATTAAAAAATGTTCAATATCACAAATCATCAGAGAAATGCAAATCAAAACCACAGTAAGAATGGCTATTATCAAAAAGACAGAAAATAACAAATGCTGGGAAGGATGTGGAGAAAGGGAAACTCTTCTTCACTATTGATGGGAATGTACATTATTACAGCCATTATGAAAAAACCGTATGGAGTTTTCTCAAAAAACTACAAATAGAACTTCCATACGATCCAGCAATTGCACTAGTGGGTATATATCCAAATGAAAGGAAAGCAACATGTCGAAGGGACACCTGCACTCCCCTGTGTATCGTGGGTCTATTCACAATAGCCAAGAGTTGAAACCAACCTAAATGTCTGTCAACAGGTGAGTGGATAAGGATAATGTGGTATATATACACAATGGAACACTACTCAGCCATAAAAAAGAAAGAAATTCTGCTATTTGCAGCAACATGGATGAGCTTAGAGAAAATTATGTTAATTACATTAATTAGTTAAGTGAAATAAGCCAGGCACAGAAAGAGGAAGTACTGCATATTCTCACTCATATACAGAAGCTAAAAAAGTTGATCTCTTGACGTAGAGGGTAGAATGGTGGTTACTAGAGACTGTTAAGGGGAGAAGGGAGAGGGGAATAAAAAGAGAGTGGCCAATGGATACAAAATTGTAGCTAGATAGGAAGAATAAGATCTAGTGTTCTATATAGCACGGTAGGGAGACTACAGTCAACAACAAAGTACTATATAACTTCAAGTAGCTACTAGAGAGGATTTTGAATGTTCCCAGCACAAAGATGTGACAAATTTTTGAGGTGACGGATATGCCAATTACCCTGATATGATCATTGCATGCTGTATAGATGTACCATCACTGTACTCCATAAATATACACAATTATCATGGGTCAATTAAGAAAAAGTAAATTAAAAAGAAAAAAAATAGAGACAGAAGTAGATTAGAGGTTACCAGAAACTGAAGGAAAGGAATAATGGAAAGTTATTGCTTAATGGGTACAAAGTTTACGTTTAAGACAAAAAGTTTTGGAGATAGAGGTCACATAGCATTGTGAATGTTATGAATTCCAGAACTGTTTATTTAAAAGTGGTTAAAATAGCAAAACTTATGTTATATATATTTTACCACAATAAAATAAAAGCAAACAAAGCAAAAAGTTTTGGAGATAGAGGTCACATAGCATTGTGAATGTTATGAATTCCAGAACTGTTTGTTTAAAAGTGGTTAAAATAGCAAAACTTATGTTATATATATTTTACCACAATAAAATAAAAGCAAACAAAGTCAACTGTTGTTTTTACCTGAGTCAGCCAGGGTCCCTTCCACATTTTGAGATACAGTTTCTTCAGCAGTGCTACAGCCATTAACATTTCCAAATGTAATCCGTGCATTTAAGACATGAAACAAGGGAATTTCTAACAAAAGAAAAGTTTTTATAAATAAAATTTACTGAGAATAATAATAATTATCATTTACTGAGTACTTACTATGCTAGTACTGTGCCAAGCACTTTCTCTGAGTATGATTTCATTTAATCCTCATAACAACTGTTGGGAAAATATAGGAAAATGATCAGGGCCCCTCAGATGTTCAGAATCTTGCTAAGCACTTGATGTAAATACGCATGTGCGCCCAGAGGTTCCTAAGTTATTGTCTAATGTAATTGCACATGTGCACTCAGGTGTCCTGGGTTATGGACTTAAGCATAAAGGATGAGTGGCTCTGATCCACAGCACCCCACATCCCCGGGATTCCCTTGGGGGGCCATTGGGAAGCCACTACTGCTGCTGGAGGCTATTGGCTGCTGCTAGTGCCCCCGGTACCCTCCACAAGGCCACCGCCACCACCGGACCTGTAAACTACTGGACCTGTAAGCTGCTGCTGCTGCTGAGGACTAAGCTCGTGTCGTCTGCCAACAGCTCCTAGGACCTTTCCCAATTACCTAGCATGGACCTGCGTGTGAGGGGTCTGCAAACCCAGCCTGGTATGTGAGGGGTCTGGGGACTCAGTCTGTACAATAGGTTTGAAGGGTCTGAGCCCGAGCTCTGACAATATAAATGGAAACTTAGTATAACTAAAATAATGAAACATTTTGGCTTTAGTTATGATTTGCCTTACTCAACAACCAGCATAGTTGTGTAGCTTTACAATTGGGTCACATCGACAGTATTCCAACATTAACCCTAGCTTTACAACAACCTCTGCCAGTATACAGATGGGAAAACAGATTCGAGAGTTAAGCATCTTCTCCTCTGTCACAGTGAGTAAGTGATTGAGCCACGATTCAAGTGTCATTAATATCCAACCATCCAAAACTAAAATTCTTGAGCCGGCCCGGTGGCGCACTGCTACAGTGTGCCGCTTGGGAGCGCGGTGGCGCTCCCGCCGAGGGTTCGGATCCCACATACAGACCGGTTCTGGCTCACTGGCTGAGCGAGGTGCGGGAACAACACCGAGGGTTGCGATCCCGTTGCCGATCCCAGTCCGGTACGGGCGCGACACTGAGGGTTGCGATCCGTTGCCGGACACGAAAAAAGACAAAAAAAAAAAAAATTAAAATTCCTCAGGAGTAAAAAAATAAAGAATAAAATTCCTCAGGAGTAATATGTAATATATATATATATATATATAGCATTATGCATACTAGTTCAGGCCCTAAAACATATTTATGTATCAAAGCATCTTGGCATCAATTGTCTTCCTCAAATAATTATCTAAATGCAAGTTTCACTTAAGGTTTGACATTAAAACAATAAATGTGTCATATTTTTATGCTTTTTTACATCTGTCAGCACCATCTGTAATTAGAACTGATGGTTAGAGATCTCCTAATTTTGATATGCAAAATGAACCACAAATCATGACACTTCTTTAAATCAAATTAAACCAGAGGATAATTCTGACCTCCTCCATTATATCCATTATATGCTACTTTATGTCTAAAGTGCTCCGATTCCCTGAACCATTCTGTCACCCAAGAAAAAAGGCAGAACCTACAAAGTGTTCCTGAAGTTTATCTAACGGTACCTATTTTAACAGGAAATCCAGGTGGGAATTCCAGTTTGATGAAATCTCTCAGTCTTGCAAAATGAGCGCTAGTTCGAGCCATTAGGTCAATGATGGGAATGACCTGCTCCACGAGAGAGAGGGGAAACTCTTCACACATCCACAGTGTTGCTTTAAACCTACAGGATATGATTGAGAAAAGACTGAGGCAAGATATCTCCACCAGGTGGGGAAAATAAATTACTGCTACACAGTAGACTAGCCTCCTTACCCCACACTCTTTCCAGTTATCTCTTAATTCAGAGCTATTGAGAGACTACAACCACAAGGAATTCAGATCAACCTGAAATCTGGAAATCAGGGGAAACAGCCTGCATTACAACCTTCCACTGCAAAAGCCTTAATTGACAACAAGCATGAAGACATTGACAGCTGATAGATACCATTTCAATTGATTGGCTGCAGCTTGTTGGCAGGAAAAAAAAACAAAATTCTTATATCCAAACTATATTCTATTTGGAAAAGGGCTAATAAGATGGGCAATCTACTTTTAGCTTTCACCACATAAAGGAATTTTAAAATTATTTTTAAAGGAAAGTGGCAGAGAAATGTGACTAAACATAACACCATAAAACAGCACAACTTCTAAAACAATCCATAAGTTGAAAATGGCAGCTGAATCTCTTACTTTTGTGTTCTAATCGTCAGCTCTTTCGGCCTTCCAATATCCCTGTCTTTCAGATCAAATTCTCCGTTGAAGTACTCATCAGGCGTGATGGCTGTGGGGTTGTTTGTGGTGGCACATTCCGTAGTGAGATCCTGCCAAGCCAGAGCTCAGAAGAGTCAGAAATGCCAAATGATGCTCACAGGTGGAGGCCTATGGCACTCCGTCCCTGAGGTGGACATGTTAACCAGCTACAAATCAGGAAGTTCTGGTCATTAACCTTTTTTAAATTAACTTACTGCATGGAACAAGAAAATCTACAGAGATATTACCAAACTATGTGACAAGTGTAATGGATTTCTCCATTTTCAAATATTGCTCCACTTTCCTTTGCATTTTCATCTCCTGATTATAGAAAATAAAAAAGAGACAGAAATATCTGAAAGTGCATGATATTTAGAAGACTTGGAGTTCAAATTCCAGCTCTGTCATTGTCTAGTTTTGACACTGGAAAGGTAACTTTTTCTGATCCTCAATGACATCCATTGTACCAAGTTCATAGAGCTATTGTGAGGATCAATTAAGAAAATGTTTGTTAATGTGCTCTGTTACAATATAAAGTCCCAAATTATTTTTAAGTTCCATTTTTATAGAGAAGCCTCTATAACGGATAAGAGAAAAAATACCTGATTTCTATAATCATCCCCTCCCCCACCTTTATTTTCAAAGACTCACTCATCTAATTCTCTTCCAAAAGAATATCTCAATTCTAGCTTAGGAGTACTCTTTGATCTTTTCAAATAGAGTGGCCTGTTCAGGATCCAATCAATGCCATCACAAGCACAGATATGTCACTTCCTTTCACTAAACTGTGCTAAAAGCTCGTTGCTTCCACTTACCCCTTGAGCACCAAACTGGTGTTCCACAGTCCCCAGCAAAGATTCCAGGGGGTTCCTGTCCGCTATAGAGAGGAGAAAAGCTTAATGACTAATATCATATCTTTCTTATGGCTACAGAAAAAGGACCTCATCATATTTTGAATTTTCTGATCTAAACTACAAGCATTAGGAAATTCATTTATAGACAGGCTGATAAAATCACCCACTATATCCATAAGCTAATTTATCCTTTATAGTACACTTGTTAGGATCTCTAAACTAGATGAACAGTTAGAAGAATTAAAGCAGAATAGTGGAAAGAGTCTTGATTTAGGAGTGAGCCAGATATGGATTCCAATCCCACCTTGGCCACTCACTATACCCATGCGTTCTGAGCCTCAGTTTCCTCTGCTGTCAAACTGGAGTAATGGTAATAGTAATAGTTGTGGTGGTAGTTAGCAATTACTACACATTTACCACATACTGCAGGAACTGTTTTAAAGGTTTAGATGTAGTAATTCATCTAATCCTCTCAACTCTAAGGAAGGTCTGGTATCACCTCCATTTCACTGCTGAGGAGACTAAGGCACAGAGGGAAGGTAACTCCACAGGGCCACAGAGCTGGCAAAGCTGGGATATGGCAACCACATATTGGCAATGTTGTGGCTCAGAGCCCAAGTTCTGTCCAAATCTTTCATCACAATAGTTTGGACTGCATCACTCATTCCAATATTCTCCAATATCCTTATCTACTTTTTCAGCTGAATCCATCAATTGTTCTTCATAACACATAAACAAGCCCTCATGAGTGGCTTTAATTACAACTGCAGCCAACTGTGGGGAAACACCTCCAAGAATGAGTCAGACTAAGGCAATTTTTATGAAAAAGAAGTTAGACTTAGAATGAGCACGTCCCAATCACATGAACTAAAACTTAACAGAGCCAACAAAGGCTCTCTCTAGACCAAAGTAAAAGAAAAAAAAAAAAAAAAAGGAGGTGGGAGGGAGGGATTACCTTTATATCTCTTTTTTTCCTCCTCGGTCAGATGTTCTGTACGTATTTTCGTTATCACATTCACATTGTTTACTGTGTACACCTTGAGAGATGTGTGCAAAAGAGAACAATGACACAAAAAAAAAAAAAAAAAAAAAAAAAAAAGGAGGTGGGAGGGAGGGATTACCTTTATATCTCTTTTTTTCCTCCTCGGTCAGATGTTCTGTACGTATTTTCGTTATCACATTCACATTGTTTACTGTGTACACCTTGAGAGATGTGTGCAAAAGAGAACAATGACACGGGGAATCAAAACTCAAAAAATAGCATAGCAAGAGCAAGAATGCTGAAGCCAAAAAAAAAAAAATCCAGCAAAATAAAAATGAAAAATGGTTAACAATCATTAGGATCCTTTAGGGAAATTATGCAAACTATCAACTTAGGAATGCATCAGCAGTTATTTTCCGTATTTGACAGTTTTAATACCGAGGAGTTAACAGTGACAGGCTGCATCTTCCTACTTGCCCTTCTTGTTGCTAAACAATCTCAAAAAATGCCCTGCAATTTCAGTTTCCCACCTGGATTTCTATTGTACTAGAGTACCCAAGCCTGTATCACCTACAGCTACTCATTTGCGGTCATCATAAGGTATTCCATACATTGCCAAAAAATTATAACTGCAAGAATAAATGGTCTGTTATCAAGGTTGGCTAAGGAATACGGTGGTGTGGAAAATCAAATGCAATAGTTAACAGAGAATTAACTGTATATGCCATATGTGGATTCCCAATGTTCAAAGCTGCAGAGAACACACTCAGCACTAGAATGACTGTTTCTAAATGTATCTTGCTGAGCACGATGTAAGCTTTCTTTGCTCACTCAGAGGCCACCAGAGGACCCTGCAGCACCTGGCTCAATCACCGCGAGCCGTCAATCCCTGCTATACTGCAGGACAAGGAAAAGGCCAGGAAACAGAGCTTTCCAGTTGATGAAATGCCAGATAGTTTGATTAACAGTCAGTCATCTCCACTATTATAATTATGTTTTAAATTCATGTATATTATGAAAATAGGCTGCAATCCTATTGATTACAATTAAGCTGATTTAAAAAACAGAGAGTCATAAGAGCTACTAACTACACAATATTTTTTTTAACCACTCAGGTTATAAAAAAAGATAAACAAGCACGTTAAATTCAATTCTTTCTGTTTTTTCTTTTTTTAAAGAAGTGACTAGCTTGTCATTCCCACTGGGACAACAGGTACAACATTGTTTCTCTACAGCATAGCTAGAGACCCCCTTAGGACATGCTACCCCATTTTCTGAAAGTCAAATAAGATAAAATTAAAAATCCAAGTGAAAGATATATTAGATAGTATACTTATTCCCCAGAGCATCTTCATGGCACAGATGCATGAGAAAATGTGAACAGACTCCTCATTTGCATAGAAGCTAAATAGCTATATTAAATCTTATTTTAAGAATTTCCTTTTACCTTTGCTTCGTAACCATTAACAACTTCTGCTTTATCTGTCCTCCAGCCCCAGAATCCGGATTTAGTTCTGATAAAAAGTGAACACCACAAATTTCTACATGTACAACATGCCATTCAGATTTATCCCTGCAGCCTTTACAGTTTTTTCCCCCCAGCTTAAGTTAGTGAAGGACACTTGGAAGTCTTGGTCCTATTGTCCACAAAAGGATGCTATCAATGACAGATGGCTTAAGCGTTCCCCACCCCCCTCCCACAGTAATTAATCAATTTGCCTCATCCAGGGCATAGAAAGCCTCCAGTCTTGGCTTCTTTACAAAAACTGCCAGCATGGGGGACAAAGGTGGGGACATTTATTGGACAGCTGTCCTAAAGAAGTGAGTGAAGATGACCAGCATCCAAGGGCTTGCTGCAAGGTGGTATCTGGGTCAGAGCATTTATCTGGGTCATCTTAATTGTGGGCACGGATGTCACAGCTCTATCTCCATAAGCAGCCACATCTCAATCAAGGAATTCTTAGAACAATGAGGCACAGACCATCCTGCACCTGGAAGAGAGCACTGGGGCAGGAGCTCATCACTGTGGTGAGCTGCTTGGAGAGGCTGCTAATGCCTGCAGAATGGCTTATGAGTCACATGTTTTATCAGGTCTGGTGCACCAGGGGAAAGGACATGAAAAGTGGTTTTCCAGCCCAGCTGTTGATTCCAGCTCTGTGGAACTACTTTTAAAGTAGCCCAGCATTCCAGCAGCAGCTGCAGAGTTGGTAATGTGCCCCAAATCCCAGTTCTTCAACTCAACATACTCCTGAGAAAAATGTCATATTTAAGAACCAAGAGCAGCCAAAAGGCTCTGATTCTTTTCAAAGCAGCTCACCCTGGGAAATGGTACCACTCACAGGGGAGCCCTGACCAGCCCTGCCATTTGTCTAGGACATCACATCCTAGCTCCAAGTGGCCCTGTGGAGGGCAACAGCCTGCCTTTTGCTCTGACCCCCAAGTGAAGTGGGATGTCAAGCAGGAAGCTCAGGGAATGGCAGCAGGGTAGCCAAGTCACAAAGAACATATGCTGTTATTTGCATTGTGATGTTTCTAAATGGTTTGCTTTTCTTCTAATGGGATTTAGTAAATGAAATCATTCCAGATGGCATGTAATGAGGTTATGTGTGTATTCTAGCCCATCAGAGAAAGGAGGAACCAGAGTTCTCATTCTCCTATGAGCTGTCTGCAATTAGCACAACATGGCCCACGGAGGGAAAGAGAAGAATCCTAAAGAGATTACACCAAATGCCATCTCCGACTTATACTTCAGAAACAAAATAATTGTCAGGGGGATTAGGGACCACATCTGACTGATTAATAAGCCACAGTCCCCTTTAGTCATCAATAATTGAAAATTGAGATATTTCCCTTCATTCCATCCTCAGTTCCTCCTCTCTGCTTAAGTCACTTAAGGACTGGCCTGTTAGCCCAGTTGGTTACAGTGCCACCTCGTAATACCAAGGTCAAGGGTTCAGATCCCCATACCAGCCAGCCACACAAAAAAAGTTTCTTGATAATCTTGGCATGGGAAATCATCGTTTCCTAGCACAGAGGCTTCTGAGGGACTGAAGGATGGCTGTCTGCTGCATGTCATCCTTCACATGTGCTGAGAAGTCTGGGCTTTGCTCTTCTCCTGAGAGACCACCAAGATGCTCACTCCCCCATCTGCTCTCTTGGCAGCCCTGGCCTTCTGCTGCCCTTTGCATTTCCACACTCTGACACCAGTTTAGTTATTAAACTCAACATCTACTCCCTGTTTTGAAACCAAGATCCTAATGACTGCTTGGCTCTAGATAAAGTTTGCATGCAGAGGCATCTAAAGATGACAGAACACCCTGCCTTCCTGTGCCTTTTCATTTCTGCCTGTCTCCACTGAGCCCACCATACCAAGGCCACTTAGCAGGCACTGTGTCCAGGCAGCTGCAACACAATTTTGAGAAAGGTTCTGAAGGTGGCAGGGAGTGTTTTGTTTGAGCATAATCTTTCAGAAAGGCAAAAAATCCAAACTACAACCAGAGAACATAAAGACCAAAAATTAATCTGGTGAGAGTATTAATTTACAAGCATCAAGCTCCCAGTACCAGAAGGAAGAAATGGACAAAAGTGATTATCCTAAAATGAGGGAGAGCCACACCTTCCAAATCCAGTCAAATGAACACTCACACATCTGGTTAGAAGATGTGCGCACTTTTTGTACCAGCAATGCTCACACACAAGAGTGACTCAAATCCCTGCCCAATGCATGACAAGCTCGCTGATCACACATTTAATTCTGAGCTCCACAAAAAAAAGCAGCTGTCTTCCACAACTTCTCTCTCAGCAACCCACTGTCAGTTGCAAAAGGAAAGTTAGCTTAAACAACTTGAAAACCCTGTGGCCATACAAATACAAAACATGCCTTAGTCCTCAGTACAAATGGAATGTGCTATCATTCCCATCTATACACAGTGGGTAACAGCCAGTAATCATCACCTTCTCTTCATAAATCACACTTAATAACAAACAATGACGTTAGCAATTCTGCTGATGAACTGCACAGGGAACAATGGCCCTTCTCATGACATCTTAGAGTCTCAGACTTCAGAGACTTCATCTCTAGATTCACCCCCTTATTTTTTCAGCTAAGGAAACAGAACACTGAAGAGATTAGGCCACTCGCCCAAAGCTCTGCTGATGGACTCAGTTTATCCAACTCTCCTTGCTGCTGAAGGGCTGCAGCAGTGGTGGCGGCCTCTTTCATCTTGCAGCATCATGAACAGAGTCCCAAGCTGAAGGTACCCTTCCTGTCTGCAGAGGAGTACGCTGAAGCCTGGACATGTCTTTCTAAGACCCTTCCAGACAAAGCTGTGGTCAGTCCCTAAACCTTGCTGTCCCTGGAAGACAACAGCTGTCAACTGGCTAGGCCAGTGCAAGAAGGCTGGCGAGAGAGAACTGATCCTGTCTTGAGGGATGTTATTACTCCTACCAAAGCAGTAGCAGCAGCACCTGGACACTACACAGGCTAGGCATTCAGTTTTTTTCTTCTGCTACAGATACCCTAAATTCCAGAGCTTCATCTAAATTAGAAGAAAAGGGCATATAACAAGTTCTATGTCTGAATGAACAGAAATCCCTCAGTTTTATTAACTAATTTTACATTGGAAACAAAGAAGAAAAGAAAAATAAAAAGAGAGGGCAGTTAGTATATTCATCAAGAGAAAAAAAGCCTAAATCCAGGATAATAGTGTCCATTTTAGCTCAGGTTATGTTACTTTCATTACAGAGAGCTGGATGTGAAATCCTAGGCAAATTCTAAGGGCTCTGGCTCTTTGGACTCCCCAGGTTCAGTGTGTCCACAGTAGAAATACTGAGGCTAACAGCTATGACAGCCTCTACTTCCCTTACACTCAAAGTCCCTCTATGCCCTCTGTGTGACCCAGAGACAGATGACTAGTGACGGTGTTCTCATCCAGATTAACCAAGACACAGACATCTGCAAAGAATTCTTCTTGAGTCTGGAACAGAACTGAACCCCCTCCAGACTTTTGCTCTAAACTATTAGGCCTCACGGAGAGAAAAAGAACCAAGTTTAACTATATAGCAAGTGTGAATTTGACTGACTAATATCGTACAATCAAATTCAATACTGGGTCAATTTTAGTTTCTGGAAACTCAAAACTCTATGGTTTGGGACTAGGGAGTGTTGTGGATCCACAAATACCAAAAGAAAAATAAGATTCGAATAAAATCCACTAGAAAGGGCTCATAAAAGAATATGAAAACATTTCTCCAAGACTTAACCACTATGCTATAAAAATGACAGACAGTGTAGGGTGTCAGCTATGGTTTCTATTTGGTTAGAGTGGATATCAATCTTAAAACCCCCTAGTATTAGAAAAAATACTATTAAATAAAAATACTATTAAAACCCACCCACATTAGAAAAATCCCAATCCATCCATAATTTCTAATTAATACATACACATCACCAAAGATGGCAGAAGGGGGATTAGACATTAAAATTTGGAGTCTCAATTCATACCTTTCAAAGGCAATATTTTTAGTGTCAAGGCTGGTGTTAATGACTGGGCTTGTGAGCCGCCTCTCAACCTCCCTGCCTTTTGGCTTCATCAGGTCCAGAGTGAGGCGTTCCATTTCCTGGGAAAGGTCAAGATGTTCAGTGGTGACCACTTTGTCATCATGGTTGACTTCCATCAACTCAGCCCAGTTGTCTGTTATTGGAAACAATGGCATAATTAAGCACAATGCAAGAAAGACGCAAAAACAAGGAAGCCTCATATGTTGAAATGCATCATCTTTCAAATTTTTCCTCCCAGGCACTATCTGATAAAACATAAAGAGTACAGATTATCAATTACCTACCTGCACAGGGATTATCTGGCCGGCTTTCCACAACTCATAGGAGGCTCTGGGCCATCTTCCCCAAAGACGCAGAATTTTAAAATATTTCATACTCTTTACTAGCAACACATTTCATATATTTCCTTTATAAAATATATTATTACAGAATTAATATAAATTATTTATGCACAACATTGGGTGAGCAAGGCCATTTCTTACCCTCCATTCAGGAAGATCATATCATGCCTGACTATGGAGAGAATATACAGATACACAATAGAAGGCTTGTACTCAAGGGCTCAGGAGAGTGAGACAGACACGTGTCACAGGGTAACAGTTTTGGGTGGTAAATGACATGTGCAAGGGAACTACCCAGACAAGAATTAAGATAGAGATGGAGAGCTGAATAATTAATAAAAATAACAACAACAACAAAATGCCCTAGGTAGGATCAGACAGATAAGGCACAAGAATGTGAACATGCTTTGACGGTTAAAATTCATTCTGTAATTTACGTTGAGCAGTGATTACTAAAACAGAATCACTCACCTTCTCCCTTAAAAATAAAACTACGCCTTCCTCTTATCCAGCTCATGTTTTCAAATCCCAGCAATGTGATATCGACACGTAATTTGGCACCACTCTTCCAGATGCGACAGACATCGTTTGGGCATATTCTGGAAACCAAGGGCACTGGAGGAGAGAAGTGTACTACTGAGAAAAACCCAAGGGTGAAGCAGAACACCCAGGCCAAGAAATCAGGATACGACTTTAATAAAAGGAGAGAAGTAGTGAGATGTGACCATCAAAGAGGACTGGACTTCTTGGCTCCCATGCTCACTATAAAGGAAGTTGCTCTTAAAAAATAAAAATGGACCTTCTGTTCAGAGAAAACTCTAAACGAATTTCCCAAGAGTATTCTCAATCCCGAAATGAACCCCACTGACTGACCCCCACCAGGGCTCTAGAGTACATCCATCTGGCCTCTGCTATTCACATGTGCTACTCTGGCCATATGGCAGGGGCCTACCATTATTGTCATAGACACCATTCAAAATATCAAATGTCTAAAATATGCCACTTTTTAACAAAACCTAAATCAGAGTGATTATCTGCATTAGAAAAGAATTCCTTTGTTTCTCAGAACAATCTGAAGTTCTCTTCTTTTATATTCTTTTTACTTGTTTACATGTTTCATTACAAATATGACTTCCCACCTGAAAGAGAAGTCTGGAAATGAAAATGGCTGATACCCTGGGAATTAGGAGTTATCATTAACCGGTCTACAAGAAATAAAAGTAGAACTTCTATGAATATACTGTCAGTCAATTGCCTTACATAATACTTCAGAGAAATACATCCATTTTGTAAAAAATAAGCAATTCCAATATTCACCTCATCTTCTTCCTTAGAATAACAGGTTAAAAAGAAGCACGCTGAACCACATAAGGAAATGAGTAAATTATAGTAAGTCTACTTATTAAAATTTTAACAATTTAAAGTGACATTTTAAAGGCAAATAATATGGGGCTGGCCAGTTAGCTCAGTTGGTTAGAGCACAGTGTTGTAACACCAAGGTCAAGGGTTCAGATCCCATACTGGCCAGCCACCCAGCCCCTAAAAAAAGAAAGAAAAAAACTATTAATATGGATAAAGGTCAGCTATAAGCAATGAAAGAAGACAAAACTGTCCATATACTATATTTCTAAATGTTGGAGGGGAAAGATCCTATGCATGGAAGAAAAGACTAGAAGGAAAAGACCCAAAGTGTTAACAGTAGTTGTGTTGAAGTGGGACTAGAGGTGATTATTTTTCCTCATTCTTCTCTATACATTTCCTAGATTTAAAAAAAAAAAAAAAAAAAAAAAAAAAAAAAAAAAAAAAAAAAAAAAAAAAAAAAAAAAAAAAAAAAAAAAAAAAAAAATACGTGTAACTTTTATAAAGAAAAAAAATAAGCCTACATTCAGGCTAAGTAAATTCAGAAACAAAAAAATGGCAAGCCTACAGCCACTCACCCCAGCTGGTGAATTCCCATTTCATCTGCACATAGAAGTCCGGGGCCTGAAGGACAGACAATGGTTTAAAATAGATTACCCTTGGCATTAATAACTAGACACAAACACAGTAAGGATTAAAAAGGTTTTTAAAAAATTAAAGGAGAACAGAGAAAATAAGAAGAAACAAAAGAGTAAACTCACTGAAATAAACACTTATTTCATATTCAGGCTGTTATTTTACCTTGGTATAAACTATGTCCAGACAGTTAAGAAAGTTAACAGAAAGCAACAAGATTGGAAGGGGATAATTATAAGTCAAACCTGACTTGGGGGTTCAATCAGGTTACTAACAGTAACAGAAAGACAAGCCTGGGAAGACAGCCTTAAGTACTGCCACCACTGTGGTTAACAGACTATTCTGAGCAAAGACAAGGAATGCCAATTCCATCTGTTCTATGGGGAACTTGACTGCAAAAGGCTTTGTGCGCTGGGAAGTGCTTTGCCACACTGTGAAACTAAAAGAGGCTGCTAGACATCATTTCCCTGGGAAGTGGATTTTCCCTCTAGTTAACAGAAGATTTTGCCCCACTTTCCTATTAAACTTTTAGAATTTGGCTTCCTGAGGTTTTACACAACCAGAGCAGCCATATTTAGGATTATTTTCTTATCTACCATCAATTCTTCTAGAAAATTCTTGAAGAGCTACTTAAGAAATTCAACAGTTCCATCCCAGAAGAGAAATTCTAGAGATTCCAGGTGTTTTTCTGTTCCTTCAAACTCTCAAGGCTTTGCCATAGTTTTTAACAAAAGAACAAGGCAGGTAGACCAGGAATCTAGCCTGGAGTAAAACCAGCCAGGATTCCAATGATGGGCAAAGATAACCTCCAAGAGGTGGCTGATAAGATAGGCTGGCTCTGTTATAAGAAGCCACTGTCGAAAGACAAAACATCAACAATAGCCTCTGGTGCCACTAAGAACACAGGTCATTTTGGGACTGTCTATAACTTCAAGCAGAGAGTACAATTCAGTGCAGTCCACTGTTATGGATTAATACAGGTAAAAAAAGAAAATCCTTAACACTGAATTTTTAAATTTTGTGACCCCATGTTAAATAAGTCATTTTCTGTTTTGTCAAATGGGCAAATGATGTTTTTATTTCCTCTTATAGTAAGTTAGATAAGAAAACAATAATCCATGTGATCTTTGCACACTCACAAATACACACCTATTTTTAAAACAATGCATGCAACTACTTCATATTTCATGAGAAGTTTCATTTTAGTACATGGGAAATGAATATCTTAGGCATGATTTAGCTTAAGTGTCAGAGAAATTTTTTTTTTAAAAGGAGTGCTCAAATAATGAACAATGATTGCCATAATTATAAAAAAGTTGCTCCTTTTCTCATTAGCTATTAATTTTTCTCACAAATTATGTTTTAACTAAAGTTGTAAAGCTAACCTATCTAGCAAATAACTTTATAGATATTTGGGGGAGCTCGCTTCTGTGCTTAAATTGAAAATAAACAACATGAAAACTGAACCACTGATACTTTCTTGTCACCTGCTGCCCTGGGAATATTGCACATGGTTTACCAATAAGATTGTTCTCTCAAATAACAAAGATTATCTGAGGAATGGCAAACATTATTCAAAACAATCCATGAATGTAGAAGTAAATGTTTTTAAGAAAGGCCTCTGGGGGCCAGCCCGTGGCTCACTCGGGAGAGTGTGGTGCTGATAACACCAAGTCCACGGGTTCGGATCCTATATAGGGATGGCCGGTTTGCTCACTGGCTGAGCGTGGTGCTGACAACACCAAGCCAAGGGTTAAGATCCCCTTAACCCTATTAAAAAAAAAAAAAAAAAAAAAAAAAAAAGAAAGGCCTCTGAATGTCATAGTGCTCATTCACTTTAATTCGTAAGACAAATAAACTGCCCAAAGCCAATAGCTGCATATAAATAAAGGCAATGGATCAGAAACCATAAAATAGTAATGGTTAACAAGGAGAAGTTACATACAGACCTCTGAACCTCAACAGGCCCTCAACATTCCTGCACAGTAATGATGCTCATTACAACTTCCTTGAGATTACCTATGCTCAGAGTGCTACTTTTAAGAAAGCAAGCACTTAGACAAATTAATTGTGATTAATGTCCATTTTCCTTAAGTTTTTTTTTAAATTTTGTTGTGTTTTTTGGTGGCTGGCTAGTACTGGGATCTGAACCCTTGACCTTGGTGTTACAAGGCAGCATTCTACTCAGTTGAACTAACTAGCCGGCCAAGTTATAATTTTTAAATAACACTTAAAAGGGTAGGCCCAGTGATCTGGAAATGTAATTTGTAAAAGACCCCAAAATTCAATAAGTTGGAAAGGCAAGGAATAACACTATTTGGTACTCAATACATCGTCTTCACTATTCATAAACCGCTTTAGGAAGGCACACAAGGATATCAAACTATGTCTCCAGCTATTTTATCAGCATTTAGTTCAAGTTACGGCATGCCACATTTTTATCGATACCTCAAGAATTTTTTGGAGCAGCTCAGGAACTCCCTGTAGAGCCATAGATGTGTTGTGGTAGTCTCGATGCTGAAGAACTGTGTACACCATCTCGGGATCGCCAGTGCTCACAGCCTCGTGTAAAACTGGAAAACAAAAGGGTGAAATTTAATCACCAAGTATTCTCATACTTTCTGACAAATTCCACAGCCAGTCTGAAAACTATCTGTATAGATCAAAAACCAACATTTTCTTCAAAGAGGGAGAGAGTCCAACCTGATCGTTTATTACCATGACTTCTGACTGCTAGCTCTTAACTGAGTAAAAAGAAAATAGAGCACTCTTAGCCTCTTGATCAAACCCTATCCACCGTACCCCTACCCCCCCTCTTACTGCTGGTTCTGATATCCTGCCAACATTTTCAGAGAGCTGGCTTTAACTGTGCAATCACACAACTCTGGTGACATGTAGATCTGGAAGGCAGGGCTCATGCTTATGAGTATCCTCGCTCAGTCAACACAAAATTCCTCTGACCAACAGTAACAAAGTTTACATAAAAGTGAAATGCCAGGATTTACTGGAAGAAGCTATTTCTAGCCATAATTTCTTTTTGATTTTTGCCTATCGTGATGGATTCAGTGGAGTTACCACCATATTCCCGGAGTAGAACTTGTCTTCACACTCATGTAGAGTGGGAAGAGTTTGCACCGAGAGCTGTTTCAGGATGAGTACAATTCAGGCCATTGTACTGCACATGGGGAGCCTGCATCCCAGCTCCAGCTCCTTGCACCCACCCCAGTCCCAAGAGAGGAACAGTCTTAAAATAAAGATGACTCTGAGAACTATGATTGAGACTGGCCTTTACTCAGAAAGAAAAAACAAAATTAATGACTTTAAATTATTTTAAAAGTATACATGCCTGTCCATCCCTGACCATTTTCTTTTGTCACATCTGCTTTATGTCGAAGCAAGACTCGAGCCGATTCCAAATGTCCCAAAGAAACAGCAAGATGCAATAATGTTCGACCTCGTGGATCCAGAGCCTCCACATTCTGTGAAATAAACACAGGCATCTATATCATTGGATATATTTCATGAAAACATGGAAATATGCTTGAGAAATAGATTAAATACAAAAAATAGAATACAATATTTATACATTCATTACAGGAACATATGTAAAAAGGTATGTTTGCATATAGACACAAAGTACAAATTTGGGGACTATAAATAAAGATGATAGTTACTGAGTTCCTTTTCTATAAAGTTAAGTGCCTAATAAATTAACATTCGCAATAGGCCTCAGAATATCCAACACAACTTTAACCTCTCAACAGCACTCAAATTCAGTCTAAATAAGGCTAGGAGCTTTCATGAAATGCAACACAGTATGACATGGAAAGTGGGGGATTTCTGAAGCACATATCGGCATTCAAGTCTAGAACAGGAAGTGCAAGACTTTGATCAAAACTGAAAGTACAAAAGATAATTTGGGTCAAAATAAAATTACATTCTCTAGACGGATTCCCACCGAAACAACACTCTCAATACTGAATATTGAGTTACAAGTGCCCTGAAGTAGCACATAAAATCCAGTAGCACCAGCAGGTCTTACAGATGCCAGGCATATATGTAGATATATTTATACAAAAATGTAAGAACACACACACATCACTTCAGGCCATGCCCTTGAGGGTTTTCTTCTCCATGCTAGACATACATATTTGGCTTTTATCTCTTTATTCCTATTCTGCTGCTCTGGTCTTCCTTTTGGTACCCACACTGGGTCTCCAGAACCGAGCAGCAGTTTCTCTGGTGTAAGCTAAGTCTGAATAACTGGGCACTGCTGCAAAACACAGCTCTGAAAGTTCTTCCAAGGACACAATAAACTGCCATGGGACTTCTGGAATGTAAAAGCATTTTAAACGCTATAATACTTCTTAGAAAATATGCTTTATCTTCATTTGAGATGCAAGTTGCCCAGGCACTAACTGCAGTCTCCGCAGATATACAGAATGTGCCACGGGAAAGTGAAGCAGGACTGTGAATGAACAAACACAATCCAATAGCTATTGAATGGATCTCTTTGTTTTGCTAAAATTATGTCATAGCTATCATACAGCGAAGATAAGAACCGTTATCAAGGAATAATAAAAGTGGCTGAAGACATTCTGCTAGCTGAACACAAGTCCTCCTGGACCTCCCAGGAGCTGAAATACCATTGTATCCCCTGGAACATGGTCCACACCACCTCCCAGATGCCCTGACTTTTCCCAAGGGTATGGCTTGCTCATTGCACCAAAGACACTGAAAATTCCAAAGGGATCCAAATCTTATATTTCCCAGCTTCCACCACCGTAGTCTCTAACTTGCATTAAATAATTGTCTTCTTTAAAGTAACAAGGCTATGAATTTATAAGCTATGAACACAGTTGAAGTTTAGCAAGAAAGAAATAATTAGCAAACCCATTATCTTCCTACACATCTATTATATAAACTAAGCATTTTCTTATGCAACAAATTCAATCCCCGTGAAAGGTGCTAGGTTTAGCACACTGCCTGCCATAGAAGAGGTGCTTAACAATATTTATCACCTGAAAGGAGAAACTCTACTTACTGCAACTCACACCCCAGAACAAAACTAACATCTCAGACTTTGAAAGGTGCTAGGTTTAGCACACTGCCTGCCATAGAAGAGGTGCTTAACAATATTTATCACATGAAAGGAGAAACTCTACTTACTGCAACTCACACCCCAGAACAAAACTAACATCTCAGACTTAGGATTAACACTCAAGCTCCTAGGCAATGGTCAGATATGATGTACAATATAAAAACCAAATACATTAAGTTGTTAACTTTTTTCTATTTTGGACCATAGAAAAAACATGTGTATAAGCCATAGAGCAGCACATTTTGCTTAACTAATTATAACTCTTCATAGCCTCCTGTCCCTTTCTCACTTGAAATGAGGGGAGAGAAAATATAATATATTATAGTGAGAATATGATTTAAAAACAATGGGTGAATAAAGATTAGAGGGGAAATGAGTAAAACAGAAAATAGACAAACAACACAGAGGCTGGCTGGTTAGCTGGGTTAGAATGTGGTGTTTCAACACCAAGATCAAGGGTTTGGGTCCCCATACCAGCCAGCTGCCAAAAGAAAAAGAAAAACAATAAAGAAAATCAACAAAACCAAAAGCTGGTTCTTTGAAAATGTCAACAAAATTGACACACTTTTAGTTAGATTGACCAAGAAAAAAAGAGAGAAGACTGAAATTACTAAAATCAGGAATGAAAGAGAAAATGTTATTACCAACTCTACAGAAATAAAAAGGATTATACAGTAATACTGTGAACAACTGTACGTCAACAAGTTAGATAACAGATAAAAAAGACAAATTCCTAGAAGGACACAAACTAGCAAAAGTGACTCAAGAAGAAATAGAAAATATTAATAAATCTATAGCAAGCAAAAAGATTGAATCAGTAATTTAAAAACTCTCCACCATGAAAAGCAGCCCCAGATGGCTTCACTAGTAAATTCCATGCAACATTTAAAGAAGAATTAATACCAATTCTTTACAAACTCTTCCAAGAAATAGAAGAAGAAGGAAAATTCTCAACTCACAGTATGAGCCCAGTATTATCCAGATGACAGATGCATCATAAGAAAAACACAAGACTAATATCTCTTGTGAATATACAGGCAAAAATCCTCAACAATATATGAACAAACCAAATTCCCCAACATATAAAAAGGGTTATTATATACTATGACCAAGTAAGGTCTATCCTACAAATGCAAGAGTAGTTTAACATCTGATCATCAATTAATGTAACACACCACATGAACAGAATGAAACAAAGACACACGATCATCTCAACAGACCCAGAAAAAGCATTTGAGAAAATCCAACACCCTTTCATGATACAAAACAAAAACAAAAACAAACTTTCAACCAACTAGGAATAGAAGGGAACTTCCTCAAAGAGTATCTATGAAGAACCCATAGCTAACATTTTACTTAATGGTGAAAGACTCGATGCTTTCCCCCTAAAATAAGGAACAAGACAAAGATATCCTCTTTCACTACTCTATTCAACATTGTATGAGGGCACTTCAAAAAGTATGTGGAAAAACAGAACCAAAAGATAACATGAATCTTTCTGTGAACCTTTTTGAATTACCCTCCCACTAGAGGTTCTAACCAGGGCAATTGGGCAGGAAAAAGAACTAAAAAGTATCCATATTGGAAAGGAAGAAGTAAAAGACAACCCACAAGATGGGAGAAAATATTTGCAAATCATATATTGATAAGGGCCTAGTATACAGAATACATGAAAAGCTCTTATAACTCGACAATAAAAAGTCAAATAACTCAATTTTAAAATGGGCAAAGGATTTAAACTGACATTTCTCAAAGAAGATGTACAACTCGTCAATAAGCACATGAAAAGATGCTCAACATCACTAACTGTTAGAGAAATGCAAATCAAAACCACAGTGAGATACCATTTCACACCCACTAGGATAGCTACAATCTAAAAGACAGACAATAAGTGTTGCAAGAATGTGGAGAAACTGGAATGTAAAGTAGTGCAGCCACTTTGAAAAAGAGTTGGCAGCGGGCCAGCCCGGTGGCGCACTGCTACAGTGCGCCTCTTGGGAGAACGGCGGAGCTCCCGCCGAGGGTTCGGATCCCACATACAGACCGGTTCCCGCTCACTGGCTGAGCGAGGGGCGGGCGCAACACCGAGGGTTGCGATCCTGTTGCCGTCCCGGTCCAGTGCGACACTGAGGGTTGCGATCCGTTGCCGGACACGAAAAAAAAGACAAAAAGGAAAAAGAGTTGGCAGCGGGCCAGCCCGGTGGCGCACTGCTACAGTGCGCCGCTTGGGAGAACGGCGGAGCTCCCGCCGAGGGTTCGGATCCCACATACAGACCGGTTCCCGCTCACTGGCTGAGCGAGGTGCGGGCGCAACACCGAGGGTTGCGATCCTGTTGCCGTCCCGGTCCGGTGCGACACTGAGGGTTGCGATCCGTTGCCGGACACGAAAAAAAAGACAAAAAGGAAAAAGAGTTGGCAGTTCCTCAAAAAGTAAAACACAGAGAGACCATATGTATGACCCAGCTATTCCTCTCCAAGAGAAATGAAATATACATACCCAGTCAAAAACTTACAAGCAAATGTGCACAGCAGCATTATTCATAATAGCCGAAAAGTAGGAACAACCCAAAAGTCCATCAACTGACAAATGGATAAACAAAATATAATGTATCTATAAAAATGGAATATTATTAAGTCATAAAAAGGAATGAAGAACCACAACATTATGCTAAGTCAAAGAAGCCAGACATAAAAGGCCATATTGTATGATTCTAATTATATGAAATGTCCAGAATAGGCAAATCTATTACAACAGAAGGTAGGTTAGTGGTTAGCTGGGGCTGAAAGGGTTGGAGAGAAATGCAGAATGACTGCTAGGGGTATGGGGTTTCTTTCTGGGGTGATGAAAAAGTTCTGGAACTTGACAGTGGCAGTGGTTGCATAACTCAGTGAATATACTAAAAACCATTGAATAGTACACTTTAAATGGATAGACTAAGGGATAAGTGAACATTAAACATCAATAAAAATGTTTAACATAAAAAGGTGTTTAAAAAATCAACATGTATGTGTTTATATGTAATACCTGAAACTAATCTATCATCTATATACCATTTGAAAAGTTGCCTAATTTCTCTTGAGCTTCAGTTTGCTCCCTTATAAAATGGGAACAAAAAAAAACACCTACCTTAGAGTTCTTACAGGGTAAAGGCCTTAACTTAGTACAATGCTCAACAGCACGGTAAGCACTAACAAGGTTAGTTCTCATTATCATACACCCACACTATGTAATTTCATATAAGCTGTTACTTTCTTCCCAAAACGGATTTGTTTAAATTGTATTACAGTTAATAGTGGGGCTTAGGATCTTCAACTGATGATAATAGTTCAGAAAGCAAGGGCTTTCAGAATTCAACTGGAATTCACTTTTGATCATTTAGGTCTTCCCTTTAAGTTTCTTCAGCCATGAGCTGTATCAGATTAAAAATAGCTACCCCTTTTAACTATGAATGTCCCAAAAGAACACAAGGAATAAGATTTCTGCACATCTTCCTATTGGCTAATCTAAGCCCATCCACTTTTCTTGCTCAAAAGCCTTCTTTACCATTCTGCCATACTCCTCCAGAGGCAGTAAGCGGCCAAGCTTCGAGGGCAAGCTGCAGAGCCAGACAACCTGCGCCCCATTTCCAGCTTCCTCATAGCCTCGGGTGAATTATTAACCCTTCTGTGCTTCGGTTAGGTACCAAGCACATAATAAGCGCTCCACAAACTATCACTGTTACCTCTGCAGTACAAGGGGAACCCTCCAGCAAGAGGCTAACAACTAGCCCCTCCTTTCTCTCAACAGTCAGCCACTCTCACTGTTTCACACCCTGGTCCTCCTCGGCTGTGGCCCCCACCCCAAGTCAGGTGGTAAGAGATATTGCATAGGCCGGTTTCCTGCGGTTAGCCTGAGTTTTCCTGCGGTTAGCCTGAGTCCTGATGGCCTCAGGGGGCACACTGAGAGTAGGAACTAGGCTCTCTGTCTTGGATGTCCAGCCCCTGGCTCACTGCAGGCCTCCAGCTAACAGGCACAGACTTGAATGTGTGTCCAGGGGCCTCCCCTGGGCTGCACCAGGCTGGCGGAAAAACCCCGGGTGGTTCCCTGGCAGGCTCCAGGTATTGCAGCTGTCTGGAATGTTCTCTTCCTCTTGCCTGGGTGCTGTGCTTTCACCTGCTGGCTTCCTAACAGGATGGTTCTGGAATCAGGCCTCATCTACCACCCTCCACCCCACCCAGTCCCAAGGTTTTCCCTACCCTGCTTAAGGTGCACACACTCACCTTTGCATTTGTCCCCTTAAGCACTCCTTGTTCCCTTCAAGGCGTTCAAGGCCAAAGGAGGTTAACAGACCTCTCTAGTTAAGCAACATAACCAGAGCACAGTTTCAACTTCAACAACCAACATCAAGACCCCACTGAACATTAAAGATGGGTTAAGAGGCACTGCTGAACAAATGCTGAAGGTCAATCTCATAGATGGCAAAGTTACACAAACACCAGCTATTAGCCAGACTGTGGTGCTTGGGCTGGCTCTCACACACACACACACAGGAACATGTGCTTATCCTCTTCATCGGGATAAACTTGATTCTTTTAGTACTGTTGTTCCTGGAACAAAATAAAATTCTTACAACCACCAGTGTGCCTGCCTCGAGACTCACTCGTGTGATGGAAGGAATGAAGGAGTGGATGGCAGAAATTCACTGGCTCACAGCTCGTTTTACTGTTGGGTGATAGAAATTTTTTAATTATGCAACCAATACATGTTTCTCATAGAAAAACTGGATCATACATAAAAGAAGCTAGATTCCCAGGTTTATAAATGATGATTATATTAACAGCAGCTAATTCTCACACCAATCCTCTGTTGTGGGTGCTCCTATAAGTCCCATCTTAGAGATGAGGAAACTGAGGTGAAGAGGCTCAGTTGCATGCTTAGCCAGTGGCTGAGCCAGAATTTGAACCCAGAAAGTTGGACTCTCTCCAAATCCTGTATTCGTGTATTTTTTTTTTTGCAAGAAGCTCAGAAAGAAACTAATATTTAGTTAGCATCAACAATTCATTCATTCATTCTCAATGGTATCACTCCCATTTACTACATGCTTGCACTTTCAGATCCGTTATCTTTCGGATCCTCTACAATCCTGACATGCAGGCTTTGTTACTGAAAGAAGCATAGCAGAGGTGTTAAGAATACAGGATTTGCCTGGAAATTCTCAAGGAAAATTTCAAATCCTCCCCCTATTTTCCAAGTCAGGAACTCCTTCCCCTTTCTGGTTCTGTGATATTTTGCCCCTTTTTGACTTTGTGGTACTTTGCTCCTTTTTGTTAGTCTTTCTGGACCACTCTTATCAATTCTAGGCAATCCCATTCCCTGCTACCTCCCACTTTCCCACCTTACCAGGGAGCTCAGTAGTATAACTTGGTGAACCAGTAGAATACTGCCTGGGTTCAAATCTTGGCTCCGATCTTTACATCTGTCTGACCTTGGGAAAGATCTCTAACCTTTCTGAGCCTCATCTACAAAATGAGAGGGAATAGTGTTCTATGATCTTCTGTGATAATTCAATGTGATTTTATATAGATAAAATATGTTATGGATAAAGACATACATATACTTATATACATCAACATAGACATGTAGGTTTATACATATATATCTATATTTACATATATCAATATCTAGATATATAGTTGATTTCATATAAATCACAATCTGTATTTATGTTAATTACATACTCATTTGCCTATTTACTATTCTGTTTCTTGCCACAAAATTCCAAGCTCCACTAGGACAGAAAATTAGTATGACTTGCTATCATTCCATCCTCAAAGCCTAGAATAGTGTCTGGAATGTAGTAGGTATTCGATGAATATTTCTGGAAGTTCATCCTTTGGGACAGGAAGGGATTTTAAGGAGCCTGAGCACCAGTGATTCTCAAACTTGACTATGTTTCAGTCTCCCTGGGGAACTCCTGAGACTTGCCCAGACCTATCAATCAGTCAAGAACTGGGTTTGTTCACATCAGTACCAACATCCTCATTCTACAAATAAGTTAATGTGACCCAGAGGGGGAAAATACCTAGCCCAAGGTCACAGGGTGAGTTAGAACCTGGACTCCAAAACGAACCAAGCCCTTCCTTACAAGAATGTCTGTTGTTCTTATGTCTTGGAGGCAGCAGAGCCTAATAGTGGTTAAGACGGTGCCCTCCGGAGTCAGCCGTCCTGATTTAAAATCCCGACTTGGTATGAGCGGCCTTGCACAAGGCAGGTAACCTCTGAGAGCCTCAGTTTCCTTCTCTGTCAAATAGAATAATAATAGTACCTACCTCCCAGCGTTATTGGAAAGGTTAAGAAATAATGTACAAAAAGCCCTTGGCACAGGGTCTGGCACAGTAAGCACTCAATAAACGTCCTATTAGCATTATTGTCCAACGACCGCAAAGTTGAAGGGGTCTGCGGGGCACCGGGGCAGAGGACTGGAAATGAGCTCAGGGAAGAGAAACGACCCCCTACCCGTCCCCTCCAGCCCCCACCGGAGAGAGCCCCGCCCCGCCCTCACCTGGCCCCGCAGCTCCTTCTCCAGCTGCCGGTAGTCGTTGTTCCAGACCAGGAGGTGCAGGGGGAAGTGGACGCTGGCATCGGAGGCCGAGGACATGGCGAGGAGGCCGCAGCCGGGGTCTCGCTGCCCGCCTGCCAGAAGCCGC